GGTGGGGCGCCTGTAGTCCCAGCTACTTGGGAGGCTGCGGCAGGGAATGGCGGGACGCCGGGAGGGGGGAGCTTGCAGGTGAGGCCAGAGATCGCGCCTTTTGCACTCCAGCCCTGGGGGAGGCGAGTCTGGCCTTTTCAAAAAAAAAAAAAAAAAGAATCAGAATTCCCTGGAGAAATCAGGGGGTCTCGGTTTGTTCAGGATTCTCCAAACCAAGGGTGTTCAACTCAAAGTTAACCCTTCCAGCTAGCTTCTCCACTCTTCCCCCGACAACTCTGCCAGTGGTTCACCCGGGCCCATAAGCGTGCCTTCTTTTCCTCCCTCCCTTCACACTAACCAAACCCTCTAGTCGACTTGGAATGGCTTTGGACCCTGTCCACCACTAGCCAAACGGCCGCTCCGGCGGCCACCCGCCTCGGGCAAGGCCAGACCTTGTTAGCTCTGCCATCGCCTACTTACCACCCTTGGTGTGGTTGGGCCATGCCCTCTGAAAAAGGCTGGAGCTCGACTGGGGCCTCCTGTCAGGCCTCCTTCTAGGCCGGCAGCTTCTGGTCCCACTTGCCCCTTTAGGTGACTGAGTGGCTTGGTTCAGTTCTTGCCTGAGGCCGGAGGCGCCCGGAGACCAGCCACTTTCCCCCAGCCCACATGGAACTGGCGTTGCACTCTGGCTCGTCTCCCTGGCCTGGGCGCTGCCTCGTCTGTAAGACACATGCCAGACATTCCGCCAAACGCCGATGGGTCGGCTGGTGACCAGGTGACTAGCTGGGTGCGTTCGCTCCTCATTCGGCAATGTTTACCAGCACCTTTGGTACGGCGCTGTCGGGGACACTGGGGGGCACCTCATGCAAAACGGGGCCCCTGGTGTTAAATTCGTTAAGCTCAAGAAGGAGGTGGGGCAAAAGCTGTCAGGCCGGGAAAGGGCTCTTCATTCCTCCGCAGGGTTCTCCTCACCTCAGAACGTCCCAGCACCGGGCAACCTGCCAGTCCAGACGGCGGAGCCGCCCGCCGGCGGGAGGAGCACGGGATTTGACCCGCTCTTTTCCGGGTGGAACCCAATGAGGGGGAAAAGGCACTTCCGGGGCGGGTTCGCTAGGAAAGGGTTCCCTTCGTGGAAGGAGCGGTCTTGTTCTCAGCGCCCCGCCGGGCGCGAGGCAGGACTGGCGCGCAAGCCGGAGGGGAGCGAGGCGCCGCCCGGCCCCGGCCTCCCGACGGCGCACCTGAGGCCTGGCTCCGCCTGACCTGTCCGGCGGTTTCCGGGCGGCAACAACCCAACGGACCCTTGGCTTCGACCGACTTCACTCACCCACCCGTTGCTCCTCCTCACGCCCTCACCCGCTCACTCTTCCTCACCCTCACCGCCTCGGCCTTCACGCCTCGCCTCCCGCCTCGCCCTCACCCGGCCTTCGCCCCATCACCGCCTCGCCCTCACTTCACCCCTTCCTCTCTCACCTCACCCCTATCCTGCTTCACCCTCACCCGGGTTGTTCCTCATCTCACTATTTTAAGCCAGAACAAATCAGATAAAAGAACTTTAATGCAGAATTTTGATGTTAATTAAAAGCTAGCTTGTTGGAAACTCTGTTCACTGCTATCTCAGGAGGGGGTGAGCTGATATCCCCAGAAGCCTACCAAAATGCAGGCACTTTCCCAGGGGAGGCTTACTGGCACCCGAACAGGTAGAGGTCTCTGGAAATACTTTTGGAAGCTGAAGAACGCTCTGATATGGAATGTAACATTTTTAGGGCAGAGGTGTATTTTTTTTTTTTTTTGAGATGGAGTCTCGCTCTGCCAGGCTGGAGTACAGTGGTGCCATCTCAGTTCACTGCAACCTCCGTCTCCCGGGTTCAAGCGATTGTCCTGCCTCAGCCTCCTGAGTAGCCGCCACTCGCCCTGGGGCGCCAGCGTGAGCCCTCCCGTCTCACAAAAAAAAATTAAACAGAACACATACCATCAATAAATAACTAATTTGAAAATAAATATAGGCAAGCGCGTGTGGTGGCCTCACGCCTTAATCCCAGGCCCTTTGGGCAGGCCGAACGCGGCCGACTCACGGGTCCAAGCGAGATCGCCGACCCATCCGCGCCTCCCTGTGACCACCCTAGCTCCCTCCTATTCCACAAAATACAAACCACAATTCGGCCCCCGCGCCCAACCGCGTCGGCCGAACGCCGCTCTTCGCGCTCTCCCCCCGCCTCACCTCGGCCACACACAC